TCAGTTATTGTATCCAATTCCCAGTGCCTAATGTAAATCTCTTAATCCTAACCCTCCAAGAAACCTGCGTCATCCGCAGTCTCTGAATCCCCCCCCAAGTCTCAGCTCTTTAAGCTGCAAAAACCTAGCGAGTCTCACATGTTTCTCCTTTCAAAAAAGTGCAAAATAATTACTACAAAAATTAAACATCTACAAAGCTGGGGAATTTTGTGAAGAATATTGCAGGATTGGCACCGATCTATACAACGTGAGAAAGAAAAGAGAGGAAAAAAAAAAAAAAAAAGGGACCATTTGTAACCCCATTTTAAAGCTGAACTCTGGCCAAAGAGTTAAAAACAGTTATTAAAAACGACTTCCATACATTTCAATTGTCAAAATGGAGGTTTCTCTTCCCGACCACACTGCGCAGGCAGGAAGGAGACATTACTTTCTCTATTAGGCCTTGTACACGCAGGCTTTACCTTGTACCAGAGCAGTATGTGCATCAACTTTTGCAAACTTGGCAAAAGCTGTACACACCGCTCTTATACGAACTGAAGGCCGTGTGTACAAGAACGTACAGAATACAGCAGTGTCGTCTCCCTGCTGCTGGATAATGAAGGCGCTGCAGCATACAGCAGTATGATCTCCCTGCTGCTGGGTAATGAAGGCGCTGCAGCATACAGCAGTATGATCTCCCTGCTGCTGGGTAATGAAGGCGCTGCAGCATACAGCAGTATGATCTCCCTGCTGCTGGGTAATGAAGGCGCTGCAGCATACAGCAGTATGATCTCCCTGCTGCTGGGACAATGATGGAGCTGCAGCATACGAAGGGGTGGTCCACTCTGGCCCTCCAACAAATCCCATAATGCCTCTGCCTCTGGGGGTTATGGCTGTACCTGTATGTCTATATATGCCTCATGAGACTTGTAGTTCCACAACAGCTGGAGGGCCGAAGGTGCCCCCGACATAATGCACTGTCATCTGCCTGCTGCTTGCACAATGAAGGAGCTGCAGCATGCACCATTGTCATCTCCCAGCTGCTTGGACAATGAAGGAACTTAAGCCTGCAGCAGGGGTGGGCAACTCTGGCCCTCCAGCTGAGCTTTAACTACAAATCCCAACATGCCATTGACAGTTACAGGCATGACTCCGAAAGGCAGTCTTGCAATGCCTCATGGGACTTGTAGTTCCATAACAGCGGGAGAACCAGAGTTGCCCACCCCTGGCATACATCAGTGTCATATGCCTGCTGCTTGGACAATGAAGGAGCTGATAATTATACAAATATCAGGGAACCCTTTTGGCTAGTAAAGGGGTAGGCAACCTCGGCTCTCCAGCTGTGCTGAAACTACAAATCCCACAAGGCATTGCAAGCCACAGGCATGACTCCCAGAGGCAGAAGCATGATGGAATTTGTAGTTTCAGCACAGCTGGAGAGCCAAGGTTGCCTACCCCTGGGCTAGTACTTAGACCCAGATTATACAAGTGGGTTGTAAAGGAAACCAAACAGATTTCAAAGAGCTGCTGTCACGTCAGTTAACAGATCATTGTTGATGAGGACTGCAAGGATGGGTTAAACTCAGCAGAGAAAAACCACATTGCATCGTCTTACTCTTAGGGGAGGAATCTGTAATCTGGTCTTGATATTGTTGGGGTCCACATCCGTTAAGTTCTGGTTTCTCCAACTGATGCTGCACCTCTTGCCAGGCTGTGGATGACAGATGATAAGAAGGATGGATATGGGAGCTTACCATAGACTGATGTAACTGGGGGCAAGTCTGAGAAACATGGAGACTGCCACTAGCAACTTATTCTAAAAATGCCTCTTTCATGGCTGTCATGCTCACCCACTGACTTGAGTACTTTGAGACTTTGCTGACCTCCCTGACCTGTATGCTGGTTCCAGATCAGTGACTCAAAAGTACCAGACACTGTAACTCAGCACAACAGCCAGGCAACTATCATTTTCAGAAAGTGATCAGCAGCAGCTCCAGTCTCTTATGACATTACTTAAAGTACACCTGTGCCCAGAAAATGGACATAAAGCTATTTAAATATTCTTTACAAGAGATATATGCTGTCCTGAAGAGGTTACATGTGGTATCAAGGTGGGTGTGACCCATTGTTCCTCTGCCACATATATGCATCACTGTATTGTTCTGTGGCACCCCCAATTGGTGCCCCCCAGAACTGTCACGATAGCCAACTATCAACTACCAGAAGCAGGTAGGATGGACTACCAATTACATAATCACCGTGCAACAAATCACAGTGAATGATTAAAGAAAAGCCCCTCCTACTGGCCTCTGACATCATGGCCCACTTTAAAGGCAAGCTCCTGCCGGCGGCAAGAGTTAAAAGAAAAACGAGCCCTCACTCACCTCCCTGGCTGCTTGTAAGGTGAAGTAATTCGTTCTCAAATATCACAACAAAGATTCACGGGGTAATTCACAAAAAGAGAAGACCGGACAAGTGAACAATCTAGGACAAGATAGCTGAACTAGAAAGTGAGCTGAACTGGAGATACAGAAAAAACGATAATCGCTGCATCCCTAATCAGGATCAGTAAATACTTTGATGTGCGTGATCTGGGCACAAGTTCACTTTAAAGTCAGAGCAGATCTGGAAATACAGGTCACTCTAACAGATTTCTAGGGTCTGAACCTTTAAAGTTCAGCATTGTAATGTTATAGCGTGCTTTTTGAACATCAATCAATCTGCATTTTATATATTTTTGCTTGAAGAAAAAAAAACAGAAAAAAAACGTCTGCTGGTATAAAAGTAAAAAGTAAAGTGAACTATATGAGCATCTTCCTGTGGAACGGTCTATGAACCCCAAAATGTACATGTATGCATTAGAAGTTGTGCATGCTGGGCAGCTATGCAAATCAGTCTGGAGACAGCCTGGTACAAGTTCCACAGGCTCTTCCAGAAGTATTGTATAATACACAGAGGTGACGTGCCCTTTATGTAAAGGAACAAGACCGACAACCTCCACGTGACCACATGTTACAAAAGGCAATGTTTTGTAACCAGAGGCTCGCAAAGGTGAATAGGCCTAAAGTGTATCAAAATGTAAAATATTGCAATCTACTACTCCTTAACTCAGGGGTAGGCAAACGTCAGCCCTCCGACTGTGGAGAAACTACAATTACCATCATGCAGCTGCCCCTGGGAATCATGCCTGCAGCTGTCAGTCTTGCAATGCCTCATGGGACTTGTAGTTGCACCACAGCGGGAGGGTCAGATTTTACCTACACCTGGCTTAAATGTAGTGGCTGTGCAAGTCGTCATTCTTCCTGCATGCTAGTGGGTAGCTGCCAGCTCTCGTGCCTCCAATGTCAGTTTAGAAAGAACATGGGGATCTACAGGTTCACAGTAGAGCAAATGTGTCCCTGGTGGATAAATTACCTTCTCTGTCCTTACAGCTCCCATTTGGTTAATGTACACCTGGTATGAGAGAAATACTGGGGATGCCATTGCTGGCTCATCTCTGAAAATCTTAATCTCCTGGCTGTCTGGCCTCTCTATTACTAGTCTGGAAAACTCAGAATTTACCACTAGACCAGACAGTATTCAAGTCATTGCTTTCGCACGACAGCCAGAATTTCCAGAAGGAAACATCAGCAATGGCATCTCGTCAACCCAGGGGCAAGGGATGGAAATCCCCTTTAAGCCAGAGCCGGTCTAAGACGTGTCAACCCAGGGGCAAGGGCTGGAATTCCCCTTTAAGCCAGAGCCGGTCTAAGACGTGTCAACCCAGGGGCAAGGGCTGGAATTCCCCTTTAAGCCAGAGCCGGTCTAAGACGTGTCAACCCAGGGGCAAGGGCTGGAATTCCCCTTTAAGCCAGAGCCGGTCTAAGACGTGGATTTCCAGAATGGCTCAGAGCTCCTTTTCCCTCAGCTTAAGGTGCAGGATCGTTCACACATGGATTTACAGTAATACCAGCTTAGGTGGCAGGGAAGGAAGGGGGGCCCACACTTACTCTGGTATACAAAACGAACGTTCTCCTCATGTGCCGGGGTGTAGACCTCCGCCTCCTCTGTAGTGGGGCTGACCGCTGGCGTGTGTTTGCCGTTCACCCGGTTGAAGACGAGTTTGGGAGTACAACTGCTGTGAACAAATAGGAGGTTATGTTAAAGAAGACCTGTACATAAAAATATTCTCCATAGTTTCTATTGGCAGAGCTGCTCAGACTCGGAAATATAATTGATCAACAAATCTGTCTTTGATTCTTCAACGTGGAAGAGCTGCTACAATGTAACTCAGCTCATCTCCTAAACAAGCTTCTCAGATTCATTTGTGCCCATCCAGCTTGGCCATGGTGAGAACATGTAGGAGAGGCTTGAGAACATTCCCGCATGCCGTGTAGAGCACCCTTGAATCTGTGAAACCTGGGGCAACCTATAATGCAAAGCCTGACCAGTTTCTTTGGTCCAGAGCTACCCCTTCCTTTATGACTGGCCAGTAAGGTCTTCCATCATAGTTCTATGCCAATCAAAGAGGGACAGGCCAAGCCTTAGACCAGCTGGAGCTGATCAAGATTTACATGATGGAGCACCCTAGGCCTTAGGGATACTGGCCAGTAAGATCTTCCATTATAGTTCTAGGCTAACAGTGGAGGGCAGGCCGAGCATCACAACCACAGGAGCAAGTCACGAGTTATATGATGAAGCAACCTGGGCCTTAAGGATGTTGGCCAGTGAGGATTTCCGTCATAGTTCTAGGGTCAATAGTGGAAGGGCAGGTCAAGCCTGAGACCCACAGGAGGTGATCACAATTTATATGATGGAGCATCCGAGACCTTGTGAATCCTGATCAGTGAGGTCTTCGGTAATAGTTCTATTCCAATAGTGGAGGGCCAGGTCAAGCCTGAGGCCCACAGGAGGTGATCAAGATTTATATGATGAGCACCCAAGGCCTTAGGGCTCCTGGCCAGTGAGGTCTTTTATGATAGTTCCAGGCCAGCAGAGGAGGGCTGGCTGGACTTCACAACCACAGGAGCAGGTCATGAGTTACATGATGGAACAGCCTAGGCCTTAAGGATGTTGACCGTTGAGGTATTCCATCATAGTTCTAGGCCAGCAGTGGAGGGCTGGCTGAGCCTCAAATGCACAGGAACAGGTCATGAGTTACATGATGGAACACCCTGGACCTTAAGATGTTAACTGGTGAGGTCTTCCGTCATAGTTCTAGGCAAATAGTGGAGGGGCAGACCAAGCTTCAAAACCACAGGAGCTGATCAAGATTCAATTGATGGAGAACCCTAGGCCTTAGGCATCCTGAAACGTTCTACAAGCAGGTAAAGCTGCCACCTCAAGGTTCTTTTAGTATCTCCTGCCTGTTCAGAATGTTAGTGTCCTCACAGGGTCACTGTGCCATCACGGTGTCTAAGCTTAACCTTACATTTTTTTTTCTTCTTTGTAACCACCTCCTGTCTATAAGCATGTACTCCAGAGATGGCTGGAAGGCAGTTCTGGCATTTGATGGGTAAGAACATTGGACCATGCATGTTCTGGACCAGCTCCCTAATGGTGACAACTTTGGACCATGCCAGTGCAAAGGCACAGTTTGGAGACAGTTGTCACAGAAGTGACCGAACTTCCATGGCAGGATCACTAGGTATTCTCCCCTTCCATGGAGTGCTCAGTTTTACTTGGCCAGGATTGCAACACATCTACTGGAAAGGAATCCTGTACTCAGAAGTATGGGGGGAGGCTTCCATTGCTGACTTCTCCTCCTAAACATGGTAGTTCTTTGGTTGTCATTATGATCCACTGGCTTTAAAACTACGTTGATTCAATCAGATTTTATTAGAGGTTTTCAATACAAATCAAGACAAACAATCATACAGATAACATAGCATCTATAGGTATAACAACAAATAAAGAAGGGAGGGGGGGGGGGGTATGACACCAGCTCCCCGGATCGTGCCTGAGGGTGTATCTGAATGCATGAGCTGGGCCCTCAGGGCCGAGATCAAGCGACGGTGTGTTGCTCTATCCCAACGACCCAGCACAGACACGGTCAATGCTGGGGGGGGGGAACTGGATTACCGAAGAGCGGGGTCATAGGGCCCAAGTAAGAAGAGATGCCCAGGCGGGCAACATATCGATCCCACAGCCTTAGGGCGTGCATGCTTTAAAACTACGTTAATAGAGTTTTGACTTTAAAGGGACATTGACTTTTCCATTCTGTATGCTTGTTGCCGATCATTATGTAGTTGAAAGTATTGATGGCACAAGCAACCAGGCAACTGGCATTTTCAGAAGCAGGTAAGCAATCGAAGTCAACACATTTGTCTCAGTACAGGTTTCCTTTAAATATTGGGCATCGCCCAACATAAATTACATGAAGCTTTACACAATAATATGGCCTTGAATGGCAGATCAAAGCCAACTTCAAGGATACCCTTGACCTAGTGCAGCTGGAGTGGTCGGAATAACGTCTCATCTGCTGCCCAAATCTACTTTTGAGATCAGAGCAGATATTAAGCAAACCGACAGGAACTAGTCTTGTTTCGAGGCCTGTTTTTTTTAGTCCATCGCGGTATAGGTCTCTTCTGACAGGAACAGGTGGTAAGGTACTGGTTTTCATCTCTATGAATAAGCCTTGTGGGTGAAACGCGTGAGCGAGCTCCTTTTATGATGGGGAGCATTATGTGGTGTATACCGGTTTGTGGATTACAATGAAGCTTGGATATGTTATGGAAGAGCCATGGAGGGCGGCTACTTATGAACGGAGATGCTACCAACTGCTATTCATTTTTCCCCGTCATTCTCTACAAACAAGCTGTTGTGAGAATGGGGCAAAAATTGAATGTTCTTAGTCTATTTTCTCTTGGCCTCTGATATTTGAAGAACCTTCGATTAGTAGTGAAAATTAAAAGGAGAACTATGAGGCGAGTTAAAAATCACCCATCCTGATCAGGTGATGGAATAAGTGTTATCTAACTGGGCTGAATGCATCTATCATATCACGTGTGATCTGTTAGTGGTAGGCAACAAAATCAGATTATATTCAGCCTGTGATTTGCTTAGTCCTATTACCTATTATACTGATGGAGATGTCATGCTCTTACAATTACTGTGTATTTGACTGTCTGACTATTGTTTTGCCAATAAACGCTACATTTAAAAAAAAAAAAAAATCACCCATCCTCATAGTTCTAGCCGACCTGTGACAATAAAATGGTCACAGGTCGGCTCAATAGATCGGGAGGTGAGCGAACACATACCGTTGTTCGCTCATTTCTCAATCTATCACTGCAGAGAGCCGTGACTGTCACTCACGGCTCCCTGCAGGGATTTCACCCTCCCCGATCCTCCAGCGCTGACTGGCGGGAACGGACGGGGGAGGGGACAGCTGCCTCTAGATAGGCAGAGCCAGCTGTCAATCACGCAGCTGGGTGGATCTCGACAGTAAAGTCAGGATCCGTCCCGGCGTCTCAGTATACCGCAAGCTGTAGCTCGCGGTATACTGAGCTTTGGGTGATGGGAGTACGCTAGTTTGTGTCCTCCCGTTACCCTTAGGAGAACTATGGGGAAAAGCCCTAACCCCATAGTTCTCATTTAAGATCCTACGAATGAGCCTGTGAATCAGGAAAGTGCCACATTATGGCCATTAGATGGAGCAGAGATCACAGGATCCATATACTTTGTTAGTAACAAGAGATACAAAGGTAACAATTCTAGAGAAGTCTGGGCGGAATTAGAAAATAAATGTATCCATTGTTACTACAGAGTATCAGCACGGGTTACATTTATGTGCTAAGCAGTTCAACTTGGCAAGAAGTACATATTGTCTAAAACAAGTGTCAGGTGTATTGTCACTTGAATATCGGTGTGTTTTGTATATATTAATCCAGATCTGTACTGTAATCCAGGGTGAAACTTGGAACTTCCTTTAGTAAGGAACGCTCACTGCTGGTCTCTCTCTTTCTGCAGGGTGACTGGTCTCGTCTCTCCCCCCCCCCCCCCCCG